TGCCCCCCAGTTTTACTGGCATACAATTCAGATCTGAAACACAATTCAAGGGGTCAATCGTGGTAGACCAGGCTCCTCATTCTTGGACTCATTATTATCGGCCCCCCTCTCCCCCCCTCACTCAGTCTATCAGTAAGGCTTTGAGGTGATTCAGGGCGGTCTCTGTGCTGGCCCAGTGAGTGCCCCTCACCTGGACCCCTGCCCTTTGACTCCCCCCCCCAAGTCCTTAGCCCATCTCCCTGGCCTTCCTTGCATTTCTGCATTTCTGAACATCCCCCCACCCCCATCCCCCTGTCCCCACCAGGACGACAGCAAGGCGGGCATGGAAGAAGACCACACCTATGAGGTAAGCCGGCGGGCACACTCAGCCCCAGGGTGGGCAGGGGTCACCTCTGTGGGTTCCATCCTGCACGTGACCACGCCCTGAGCGCCGCTCTGTGTCCCCAGGGCCTGAACGTTGACCAGACAGCCACCTACGAGGACATCGTCACTCTGCGGACTGGAGAAGTCAAGTGGTCAGTGGGTGAGCACCCCGGCCAGGAGTGAGGGCCCGCCCTCCCCACACCTGAGCGCAGCCTCCTGCACACCTGGGCGCAGCCTCCTGGGGCGCCACTGACTTCCTCAGAGCCTGCCCGGCTCCCAGCCTGCCCCTTCGCCGCCGTGTATCCCCCATCCCCATCGGCTGCCTGCCCCCCAGCCCCCAGGTCCCCAGCTGTTCCTCTAGGGCCTGGACTGGAAGGGCCCCAGGCAAAGATTCGGGGCAGAATCTCAGGAATGGCTGAGGCAGACTTGGGGAGGGGGCTGTTGTGGGTTACGGCCTCACGTGGGGGCAGGGAAGGTAGAGACTTGCCTAGAACGTGCCAATGCGTTCAGAGCAGGCCAGCTCCCTGAGGAGCCTGGGAAGGGCCATAACCCGGACTGAGCGCTGTCTCCCTCCCTCCCCCCCCTCCCACCCAGGGGCCTCAAGCCTATTCTATGGAATAAACTGTGTGTCTTGAGAACCACACATGGACTTGTGACATCTCTGGCTATGGGGTCAGGGGTGGGGGTGGGCCTGTGGGACCACAGGGGGTATGCTAAGGTCTCCTGGGCCTCTCCTGGGCCCATCCATGGCTCCTCTCTGAAGACTCAGCAGCGTCCCGCAGCCCCTTACCTCTCTTGTCCCCTTAGCTGAGCAACTGGAGGAAGGTGATTGAACCAGCCTGTCTCCCCAGCAGACACACCCTCGGCCTGTGTCCATCAACCCCATCCCACCGGGTCCTGCTCTCAGAGCCCTGGGGAGTCTTGCCCCGCCCCCACCTCCCAATGCTGCTCTGTCCACCCACCCCTGCAGAAGCACCCAGGCCCTGCCCAAGCCCCTCCTTAGCTCACAGCTCCACCCCCCACTGACCCTGGGTTTCCAGTTAGACTGGAAGCCCCCTGAGGGGAACGGTCTCCTGCCTCCACGCCACACTTCACCAAAACAAACTCCCGAAGCCTGGGTTTCGTTTGTTTGGGGTTTAAGGGTGATCCAGAGCCTGCCAGAGATAGATGATCCTAAAAAGGAAGACTTTGTGGGCGTGGTGCCTGGGGACTGGTGGCTACAAATTGGGCTGCTAACCCCAAGGTCAGTAGTTTGAAACCAACAACCTGATCCGCAAGGGAAAGATGAGGCCTTCTACGCCCATCAAAGTTACAGTCTTGAAACCCCAGGGACAGGTCCACCCTGTCCCACAGGGTCGCTAGGAGGCAGAATTGACTTGATGGGAGGGAGGGTTTTTTTTGTGTTGTTTGCCTTTTAAAAAAAAATCATTTTATTGGGGGTTCAGACAATGTTTATCACAATCCATACATCCATCCATTGTGTCAAGCACATTTGTACATTTGTTGCCATCATCATTTTCAAAACATTTGCTTTCTACCTGAGCCCTTGGTATCAGCTCATTTCTCCCTCCCTCACTCTCCTTCCATCCCTCATGAACCCTTGATCATTTATCTTTTCTTTTTTTTTTCATGTCTTATACTAACCGCTGTCTCCCATCACTGTCTGTCCCCCTGGGTGTTTGCTTGTTTGTTTGTTTGTTTTTTTAAATCATTTTATTAGGGGCTCATACAACTCTTATCACAATCCATACACACATAAATTGTGTAAGGTGCATTTGTACATTCGTTGCCCTCATCATTCTCAAAACATTTCCTCTCCACTTAAGCCCCCAGCATCAGGTCCTCATTTTTCCCCTCCATCCCCCCTCCCTCGTGAACCCTTGATAATCTATAAATTATTATTTTGTCATATCTTGCCCTGTCCGACGTCTCCCTTCACCCACTTTTCTGTTGTCCGTCCCCCAGG